AACTCATGTCCTATTCCTGAGTTCATTTCTGACTTAGTATAAATTTGGGAAGTCTACCTTTCTAAAGGAAGTACTGCCCAAATTTTTACTAATTCAGGGAGTTAGACAAAATTTTGACTTTCCAGAGTCAGAGATCGTCTTGTTTTCATATTTGAGTTACTATAAATTATGAGAAGGCATTTTTCCTACGGGAAGCGCTGCCGAAATTTTCTTAGTTAAAGGAGTTAGATTATATTTTGACAGGTGGCGATTCTTGCAATCCACTCTATATAGAGGAGATTCTGTCAGGGTCTACCTTTTTTTGGGCCACTTGCTTAGAGGCAGACCTAGGCTTAACTTGTAGAAGGATCTTGGGTGAGAATGTGTTATGGAGTTGTATTCTCCATACACTTATGATTTTAGCTTGGGGATTGACCTGTCTTGTGTTACAGGTCTTCTTGATCGATTGATTCAGGATTTGGGCTAGATTCAGCTTGATCCTACGAGAATCATCTTCTGTTATCACTGATAACAGGTCAGTTGTCGACTCGTCGGTTTACGATTCAACTCCATTCCACTCCTGCCACTCAACCTAAGGGCTTTAGCCTTGTGATTTGAACTGTTTTGTTGTGTTTTCACCCGGACTTAATTTGATTGGCCATTTAAAGAAAAATACTGAGTATTTTATTTTGAGGAGTTGCACAAGAGTGAGGCTTGTATGGCTAAAAGCAAGGGGTGTGAGTGCAGAGAATGGTTGAAGTTGACCCCGTATAGTGCATGGGCTTTTGGTTGAATCTTTGATGTGATTGCAGGTCTGTTTGGTGATTCGGGCTTTGGATTTGACTGTCTGCGCTCACATACATATATATATCGTCAAATAGAACTGCCCGGTAGGTAAACCGTAGGCAGAGAGGGAGAAGAGGACAACAAACGAGGGGCTGTGACAAACTGTTTCGTCGGAGTTTCACCGACTCATCAGGAGGCTGAACCCTCAACAGTCTGCAAAATCCCCTCACTGATTACACTGTAAATGATAATCTACCTTAACCAAAATCAAAGTAGACTATCACATATATATGGCTGAGAGGAGGCCCACTGTGACTGTGAGAAGTGATCGTCCTATATTAATGACCCTTCTTCATATATGTGTATATATATATATATTTATAGCTTGAATGTTTGCGCGATCTATTGTGGCCGTGCACAGGGGTTAAGCAGATTATGTTTGGGACAGAAGAGGGGGATCCTCTTTCAGCCTTTGCTCTTTAGATTTTCTATAGTTGGGTGTTGTAGTCTGTGGCAGCCGTCAAAGTCAAACCCCTTCACTTCTTTCTAGGCCCTAGGTGGTGGAGCTGGTCTCCAGGGCCATAAGAGACGATTGTCACCACAGGTATGAACCTGTGTACCACCCACTCTCCGCAAGGTGCAGAAGAGGGTTTGGTTCTCAACCGCACTTGGCGGTTGTCCAGCGTCGAGAGATTAACCCTCAAGGCGCATGTCAACCGACACTTGAGTGTCAAATGCGACCCTCGAGATTAACAAGGACCGCATAAGTATGGGTACTACATAGTACGCCATCACTGCGACCACTTGTGTACGTTTGCATTGCGAGTCGATATGAGTTAGCCCTGCGTCCGCGCGGTTTTATACTAAGTCTCGCGCGCGTCGCCTATCCGAATTCCGCGTCGGAAAGTTATGGGATCGCTACTAAGGGACTAGGAGTGTTGTCGCGTTGTTTGTCCTATGTCATTTTGTATATTTGCGTATGCGTGTGCGTTTTATTTGTATATTCTGTATAGTGGTGTGCGCGTGGCGTGTGGGATACGTCCTGGTCGACCGACGACGGGTCGCGCTTGGGACTTCAACCACCCGAGTGGACGGTTCCCGTGCGGGTCCGATAGAGGCGTATTACCGCGCGTACCCCCTATGCTACAACAAACGAGGAACGCCCTCGGCTGGTCCACCTCGCGATTGCAACTGATCAGCTTTCATACTGTGGACTGGTAGCTCGGCGGGGATACGCCCATCGAAGGGAGGTGACAACTCCCGTAAGGTGGAGGTAAGTCGTGCCTCACGTAGGCCCTATCCTGTCGTAGGGGCTCGCAAGAGGTATGGCTGGCGCACTCGGCCGGAGCGGCTTGCGGAAGCTACATGTATATTCGCGACGAGGATTTAAAACCAACTCCTGCGTGACGCGGCCGGGAGGGTCCCGTGCTGCCCCCGTGCGGTGCCGGACCGATGCGCTCGACAGCGTGTGGGATATCCAGGGTGATCCTAAGTTGAGGGTGTGTGAACAACAGAGTGGGGCGCAGTGACGAACAGGGAGTTGTACAGGCGCTGATGCGCCATACTGCCACAGCCCAGAGAGCGCAAATGGGTAACCGTTGCCCGTACCCGACCGCACCCAAATGTAACCGCCAGGTCACGAGTAGGGTTGGGTGCCCCTTTCGAAGGGGGCGTTGGTTATGGGCAGGCAAAGTTGGTTTTTCTGGTGACGACGGGTAGGCACAGCTACTCTTTATGGAGATCACGGGCAGGTAGGGCCAGCCATATAGAAAACTAAAACCGGTACGGACAGGTACAGGGTGCAGAAAAAAAATGGGGGTGGGTACGGGCGGGTAGAGGATCCAGTCGGGTAACCGTGGTTCACTACCCCTTGTAGTCCCGCCTGCCCTCCTCCCCACCCCCCCCCCCCCCCCCTTTCCCACCACCAGAACTTGTAGGCCCATTTTTTTTGTGTGTGTGCCTCCTTGAGATTCTCGCAGGAGTGTCCAACATTTCGGTTTTGTGGCAATTCCGGACGTTGGCGGACTTCGAGTTCGGGTTTTCGAGTCGGCCTCACTCCACTGCTCGCCCTGCCACAAAAAAAGGCGGTTTATCTTCCCATGTTCTAGCGGAACATTCATTCTGAACTTGGACTTTGCGTGACTAGTGGAGTGGCGCCCATTGGTTCCCAACCGTTTGAAACTCGTTCTGCATTGCCTCCCGCCCCTTTTCGGTCCCTGTTCTCGCTGCTCCCCGCGCGTCGTTCACGACACCACCAATTGTCGTCCTCGTCCTTGACTCGTTGCCGCCCATTGTTCCCCATCCTCCATAGCTCCCTTGGTCGACTTCGCAGGTGTGACTCACGTGGAGGGCATCGCAGGTGTGATTCCCAGCGGCAGCAGGCATCAGCGCTCTGCATTCAGGACGCAGGAGGCACTAAGGCTGGCGATGACAAGACTGAAGAAGGCCAACAGATGAGTTGGGTGACCACCAGCCTCTCTCTCTCTCTCTCTCTCTTTCTCTCTCTCTCTCTCTCTCTCTCTCTCTCTCTCTCTCTCTCTC